CCCCTCCTCACCCTGCCGGGCTGCGGGCTCAGGGCTGCGTGGGGGCCGGGCTGTGCAGGCCCTGCTTCCCTTCTCCCTCAGGGAATGGCGGCAGCCTTAGAGGAGGTGGCACTGCCGAGAAAGGAGCAGGGGGTGGGCGCCCTCCCTGCCTCCTTAAACAGCCCTGGGTGCCCCCCCCCCCGCTCCTCCGGGGGGACGGAACTCACATTTTCTGCCGCAGTTTCTTGCTGAGCCCTGTCTGCCCTTCTGTCCCTTGCAGGTTCTCACAATGGCTGAGGATTTGAGAACAGCGGTTGCCAGCCAGACGAAGAGACTGAGCAGCAGCAGAGAGGTGGTTGAAAGGCTGGAAGAAAATGGACATCAAAATAAAAGGTTGAAGAGGGATGCGGATGAGGAAGATGCAGAGGATCAGAATAAAAAGTCACCCAAAAGGAAGATTGTGTTGTTGATGGCATATTCGGGGAAAGGCTATCATGGGATGCAAGTATGTGGTTTGGCAAAACAACGTGGCCTGCTTTTTTTTTTGAAGTCTGTTAGGTTTATAGCTGTAGTTGGAGTGACTGAGTAAGGAAGCAGTTGGAGCTTGAAAAGCTGGGGTAGGAACAGTGCATGCCTGGATTCAAATGGCTTGGTAGTAACTTGAATAAAAAAAGTCAGTGGTACATCTCTGATATTTGGTGATTCTAGTGAGTCTGCCCTTAGTATAGACCGTCAGCCTAAGATCTTCCAAAAACTGCTGCAGATAAAGGCTCTTAAGGAGCCTGAAAGCACAGGCACCCAGGTTCTGTCAAAACCTGAAGTGCAATCTGATAATCCCCTTCTAACCAGTGCTCCAGCTTCCCGCTGAAGCTTTGCATTTCAAAGCAGTTGGGCTGAGTTTCTTTTAGGGTAGACCTCAAGCTGTCTTACTGTGTGCAGATTCCAGAGAACTGAGCCGCATATTTGAATGAAACAATTTTGCATCTGTGCTGCCATCTCTTGTACTTCTAAAGGTTATCTGTGCTTGAAGATATTTTAGATTCTCTTTTTCTGATGCATTCTAATGGGGTGGCTTGTAGCAGTTTAGAAACAGGGAAACTGTTGCAAGACTTCTGTGTTCTCACGTGGAAGAAAACGTATGTTGCTTTGTTACAGCACCAGCATTCGAGCAGTGCCCCAGCCCCAGTCCTGCCTGTGCAGGGATGGTCTTGTGGCACACAGTGTTGGCAGCGAGAGGATGATTTTGCTCCATCTGCTGCTCCTCTCAGTGTACTGCAAACTCCATACACTCCTGAGGTGTTCCTTAAAAGCTCCACGGGATAATTGATAAGATTGCACACAGACAGGGAAGGGAGTCTTTCATGCTTATGCAACAAATCAGATTTGTTCAATAGAAGTAAACCTTGTGCTTGTGGGTGCATCCATGTAAGTGCTCATCACTTTTACTGCTCTGGTAATTAAACGGTGTGTGTCGAGGGCGTGTGCTTTGCAGCCTTATGCACAAGTGGAGTTAGGCATTTCTGTTATAGTTCATCTGTGAGCTGAGTGCAGAAATCATTGTAGAAAACCATAATCTGTGTTATACAACACCTCAGGTGAACTGAGCAAAAGAACTCAATCTAATTTCTAGAAGCAGAATTTGCAGAGGGTAGGTCTGGAGCAGCACTGGAACAGTATTTCCTTGATGCTGTTCCATGCAGTTGAAGGAACTGTCAAAAAAACTCCATTGCAGAAGTATTGCACACTGAAATTAGAAATGATCCTTTACTTCTAATAACAGTAAAAGGTAAACTGTTATGTAGAAGTTTTATTAACACTCTCTGGTAAAGTGTAGGTATTTGCTAGACAATGGCAGTGCTTTTAGGGCTGAGAGGGTCTGATTTAAAAGAATTCCACACCAGCATCTGATTAATAAAATTTTTCAGTTATCATCTTCAGTTACCCATTATTACTATTTGTTTTTTACTTTTACTATATATCCTCTTTTAGAGAAACGTGGGATCTTCACAGTTCAAGACAATTGAGGATGACTTAGTATCTGCCCTTGTTCAGTCAGGCTGCATCCCAGAAGACCATGGGGAAGATATGAAGAAAATGTCTTTTCAGCGGTGTGCTCGAACAGATAAGGTACGCTGGGTAGGGCCTGTGCTCTCATAACTCTGGTGGACTCCTGTCAGTACTACTGGGATTGATTGGTAAAGTGTTGTTTAAGAGTGAGATCCCATAGCAAATACTATTCACAGTAAATGTTGCTTGAAACTTCTCTCATCCCCTGCTAAACTTAAGTACAAGCTAGCATGTAGAAAGTGCGAGCTATTGATAGTGTTTGTAAAGCTGGTGCTTCACATCTAAACTTTGTGTTTCTGTCACATTCGTGTGCTTCAGCCTCCCAGCCTGGTGCTGCTGCTCCTCCTTGTTGCCTGGTTGATGCGGTGCTTGAGAGTTCAGCTGCATTTCAGTTGTTTTTGAGCCTGCCACAGTGGGGTTCTAAGTCTGAACTGGAGTTTACGGCTGATCTTACGTATAAGTAGTTTCTTTTTAGTTGGTGCTTTACTTAATAGCAGTTAAATACAGCGAGATGTCATGGAAGGGAGCGCAGTGTTCTGCTGCGTAAGATTGCTAAGGTGCTGTATGGCTGTACAGCACCAGCAGGTCTTCCAGGAGTACTCTGGCTTGGATTTCTGCCTATGGCCTTGCCTTTGCATCGCTTCAGCCTGTAATGACCAGTGAGAAAAAGGAATAAACTTATTTCTTCAGCAAGTGCTATCCCAGAGTTTCCAAGGTACATAATTATGTGTTTGTGTGTTTTATGGTTTTTATAGGGTGTGTCTGCAGCTGGACAGATTGTGTCGCTAAAGGTCAGGCTAATAGATGACATCTTAGAAAAGATCAATAACCATCTCCCTTCTCACATCAGAATTCTGGGTAAGGATACTGGAATAGGCAGAGAAAATATTTTCAAAGAGGAGCTTTCTCCTGAAGAAGTTCTCTCCATTACCACTATAATTTTCCTCATAAGCAGTTGTTATGAATCTTTGTTTCTGTTTGAAATTAGGGTCCTATAAAATAAATCTCTCTTTTGATTGTGCTGTATTTAAAAAAAATTCTTGTCGGTAGGAGCAAGATCACAATTGGGTTGTAACCTACTGATTCAAAAACCTAATGTCATTTTTAAAACAAGGTCTGAAGAGAGTCACTGGGGGATTCAACTCCAAGAACAAATGTGATGCCAGAACCTACTCTTATATGCTGCCAACATTTGCCTTTGCCCATAAAGACCATGATGTGCAAGAAGAGGTTTATCGACTGGACAGAGAGACCCTTGAAAAAGTCAATAAACTGCTTGCGTGCTATAAAGGGACACACAACTTCCACAACTTCACGTCTCAGAAGGGACCCAGGGACCCCAGTGCCAAGCGGTACATAATGGAGATGTACTGTGGAGAGCCGTTTGTGAGGGAGAACGTAGAATTTGCAGTGATCAAAGTGAAAGGTCAGAGTTTCATGATGCACCAAATAAGGAAGATGATTGGGCTGGTGATAGCTATTGTGAAAGGTTATGCTGCTGAGTCTGTCATAGAGCGCAGCTGGGGAGAGGAGAAAGTAGATGTCCCCAAAGCCCCAGGACTCGGTCTGGTTTTGGAAAGAGTACACTTTGAAAAATACAACAGACGTTTTGGAAATGATGGGCTGCATGAGCCACTGGAGTGGACAGAGGAGGAGGAGAAGATTGCTGTTTTCAAAGAGCAGTATATCTATCCTACCATTATCAACACAGAAAGGGAGGAGAAATCCATGGCAAACTGGCTAAACACCCTCTCCATTCATGACTTCAACTCCTCTGCTGTTGGGATGCAAGCTAACAACAAAAATTCAAAGGTAATGATTGAAGCCATTATTGTATCAAATGGAAGCTGTCAAGTTGAAGTGGCTCTTAATTTAGTGACACTTTTGTTTTCCATGAATATTCCATGGAAGATGACAGTCATCTGAAGCATGAAATGTGTATTATCTTTCCCATCTTTGTATGCTTGGTAGTGGAATGAACAATACAAAGTGTCATTTTTGCAGGGTTTTGCGTGGGGCAGATGAAGCAGGGGTGAAGGAATGCTTTCAAGCACAGGGCAATTTGCAGAATCATACACCAGCAATAAAAATTGTGGACACATTACTGGCCTTTGCTGTTGTGAAGCTGTTTGAGAGACTAGGTTTTAGGTTGACAATTTCCCTTTAAACGACTGCTGGTTCTTTGTATTCTCTCATTTTGGGCTAATTCTCGTTTTGTGTAATGCCATGTTCACTAGATATGGTTTGGAATCCGGGGGGTGGGGTGGGGGGACTGAATTTAGGACCATTTTTGTGTAGATAATAATCCTGCTCTGAAGAATGTTAGGTTTAATCCAGTCTCTGCCATTTTTTGTTTGAGAGAGAGTTTCAACATAAAAAATAAAATTTATGGTCTCGTTGAATAGTACAAGCAAGATACCAGAAATTTCTCAGGGTTATTTTTGTACTTGTTGTAATTGTTTTTCTGAAGTACAGTGCTGTGACAGGAGTTTTGACAAATGCCACATTAGTTTGGTTAAATGGAACCCAAAGAGATGTGGTGCAGAGAGTCCTTACCTGGCTCAGGGGTCTTGGTGATAATGTTGACAGGACTCACTGCTGACAGGTTCAAAATCACGGATGTATTGCTAGCAGGAGGCAGGTCTGCTTGCTTTAGATAAACTCAACCAACAACAGTTTTGGCATCACAGTTAGCATAAGCTGTCTGGAGAAGGATAAATAAGGGATGATATGACAGGCTCCTTTGAGATTTTGCAGGCTGTTTGCACTTCAATGAGCTGTGCTTGCTGTTATGAAGGCAACTGTCTTAAGTCTCTCAGGATTTTTGTAGTAGGATATTAAATTGTAAATGTTAAATTCATGGGATTTGGAGGTTTATATGTTCTCAGCAAGTGGTGGTGAGGGAAGAAAAGGAGTAACTACAGGCATATTGTCATGTTAGCCTTTCTTCATAAAATCCTTTGATGCCAATCATATCAGTCCAAAAGTTATCATACTGTATTGACTTACTCTTGAAGGAGTGGCTCCCAGTTAAGAACTCAGACTTCAATTTCCCGGTAAATTGATAACATTTGTAGTATTTCCCTAATACTACTTTGTACAACAGACCTCATTTTTAAACAAGTATTAGTGAGCCCTTGCATGGCTCTGATACAGTTTGAACCTACATTCTGTGCAGCTGACAAACAAAATTCTAGTATCTGACTTTAGACAATGTAACAAAATGAGCTTTTGGGGGATTTGCATGAAAAAAACACCTGTTAACTTGTCTCACCCATATTTATTTTAAACATCAGCATTTCATGCTATTATCCCCCTTTTAAGTTGCCCACATACTGCAGGTTGTAATCATGCAGTTGTAAATAGAAGCGCGAAGAAATTTTTTCTGCTGGTGAGTGTAATGCAATGTACAGTTTTTTGTTACGAGAAGTGTCATTTACCATCACAGAAGTTTGTTTCAATAGATGGGTCTAAAACATGAAGTTGGGATCTAGCCCCATTTTCTTACTCTTTTGAGAAGTTTAAAAATGCTTTGATTTAGGTCAGTCTCTAGATGTAAAAGAAATACTGAAAAACAGTTTTCCATTTTACTTTACAGAACAGCAGCGATCTCGAAGGCAGTGATGGTTGTGATGATGATTCCGACTGAGCCAGTAAGTGGCTGGATGTGGGACTGCTTGCAATTCCCTTTGTCTACAAAAAAGTGGCCTTTCTAAATCCAAGAATCCAGTAAAGCAGGGGTTTGTGTGCTTGCAGAACAAGAACCTGATGCCCAGGAGAAACTGGGTGGGGAAAACAGTACAGTAGAAAAAGTAAAAGAAGGTTTTTATACCACTGACTGATTCACCTGACTGGCATACTTGAAAATAGCATAACAAGAAAGAAGCTTTCTAAAACAGTCTTGTAATTCAGGATATCTTAATTGCTATTTGAACATTAGTTCTTATTATATGTTTACCTGGAAAATATTTTAAATATGTATAATCTCTACATAAAGATGGAGCAAAACCATTTTAATATACTCATTTTTTTATTATTATTCTGATGTTATGACTCCATGAATTTTTGATATTTTTTAGTTATTATTTTCTTGTCCTTTACCTAACTCGATCTCTAAACACCATTTAGCTTTTATTTTCCATGGCATCCATGACTTTCCTGTGGAATAACATGCATGGGTTAGGGAACTCATTATCATGCTGACTGCTGTGAATTCTTTTACTGAAATTTTCTGTGTTTTCTAAAGCTTTGCAAGTCTGAAAGAAATGATTCCTTACTCAGTGAGAGGTCTTAGTTTTGGAACATAGACTGAACCATATATTTCAAGGTGAGATCTTTTCTTCCGGAGATGTCATCTTCCCATCTTCCCAGTATTGCCCGCATGCATGGCTAGGCTGGAGGATAATAGATCCACAGCTACTGTGTAACTGGGCCCTTACTGCCTGAGGTGTCATTTCACACATCTCTGAGATGTGAGGAGAAGGTGTAAATTAGTTGTTAGGACTGGTTCAGGTCACTGTGGTAGTGTTGCCGGTGGTGGATCACTCAATTTGTTGCTGCTGGTTTAGTATTTCTGTTTTTAGTGGAAACTGTCTAGCAGTCTGCTAGATTCGGGTTGAATCAACTTAACATGGGTGAAAGGAATGGTGCTGACTTCCTCTGGGCTGTAATCAAGTCTGCATTCACTTTGTGTGTGTGAACTCTCAATTCCCATCAAGCTGCTCAGAATAGAGGAAAGTGTGCAATGATGTGGGAAGCACATGTCTGAGGACTGTCTTCCTTTAGGAATCAATTTTAATTTTCTGTGTTTTGGGGACCTGCATACTCTGGAGTTCTTTCTCTGCTTTCCTCGGCTGCGGTTTGAGTTCGGGTTCTTGTTTATAACTCTCGGTGGAGGTGGTGGAAGTCAAAAAGGCAGCAGCCCTGCTGCCCTCCCTGCGTGGACGGGGTGGACAAGCCTCTCTAAGCATTCCAGAGTTAGTACAAGTGCTTGATAGGCTTTCCTAGCTGGGTCTGTATGGAGACTAGCTTTGTAATATGGCAGTTACTGAAAATGAGGAGTCAGCCCTGCTCCTTCATTCAGTGGTTTCCAGCCAAAGCCTCCAGGCTCCTTCTGGATATTTTTTTTTTTTTTCCCGAGAGTACAGCTGTCCTTCAAAAAAGGATTTGTTTGTTCTATTTTATCAGGGGTTTAATGAGAGCCTTTTATTTTATAGTGAAGGTCTTGCTCTGTTTTATGAGAGCAAGTGCGTAAAAGTGTTCTGGAGAGGGACTCTACCTAAGTTTTCATTTATATCCCTTGCTGGTTCATACTATTGACCTAGTCTACATTAGTCTTCTATCCAATCCTCTATCTTTCTATCTCTTTCAATCTGGAGAAAAGACCTTTATTTGATTATAACCACCTTTATTTGATTACAATGAAAGCCCCAAAACGGACATGTATCTCAGTTGAAGTTAACGAGAACTTCTATTTATAACCTTTGGAGAAAACACAATAATAGTAATAAAAAAAGAGGCTATTTCTTACCTCTTGGTATGCGTGCTTTTTTGTTTCATATAGATTAATTTGGTATTTCAGCTCTGGTTTCAATGCAGGAGCTGAATAAAAAAATGGAAGAATAGGGAGGTCGTCTAAATTCTGAAATGGACTCTTAGAAAGGGTGCAACGCTACGCTGGGTTCCGGTGAAGAAAATAAAGACCGGGCACTGTGGGAGCTCCAGGAGGCTGCTGGCACGGGGGCAGGAGGGCTACCAGGGGCCCGGCTCAGCCGCTCCGAGGCGCTGCCCGTGGCTCTTCCCGCCCGGGACCCTGCGTGCGCTCTGGGGTGCGGCCTGGGCGCTGGGTTTGGGGGGACAGGGAGGGACCTGGAGGCGCCCGGGCGCTGCGCTCGGGGACGGGGCCCGCGGGCCCGGCGCCGCGCATGCGCGGGGCGAGGGAGGAGTGGGATGGTGGGGCGGCCGCGGGCACCCGGTGCCGTGAGGCGGCGAGGGCCGGGCGCGGCGGCGAGGTCGGGGT